ATTATTCGGCCTTAAAGTGCACTGCAGGCTTTGCGACTGTGGGGCGGTTGAAGATGAAATGCATGTTTTTTGCGGAATGCCCAGCTTACACAAGTACACAGGCTAAATACGAATGTGACCTCGCGTTTCAAGGGTCCAACACGTGCATGATTATGACCGAGGCCCCACCCCTGGCACTAGCCATGTTCCTCTCAGAAGTCTGGGAGACCTGGCACATTGCTCTAAGAGCTGCTGCATGCTGCTGCTGCTGCATGCTGAAGTGGACGAGGGAGGACAATGATGGTCTACCATGTAACTGCACTAAAAACGATTTACCGTCCCTGGCTTTTACGGACACCCCAGCACATGTGTGGAACTTGTAATTTGTAACATTAGATTCCTGTTTTTTAACGGAATAAATCAGTTTGACTACTTCGTATGCATCCTGTTAACCCTGTCAGAAACGGGCTAAGAAGTCCCCTGGCTGCTGGCATATTTCTTGTTTTACCGCCTGTTGTCCATGCCCAGCTGCTAACAAGCTTATTTTATGTCATTTTACCCACGGGATGGAATGCTGCAGGTCGTTCCGAGTTTGTTGTCCTGCGCACACCCCCTGAAGCGAAGGCAGCATCTAGTGAGAATTTAGCTGAAGCTATTCGTAATGGCAGCAAGGTAGTGATGGTGGTGGAGTTGAAGAATACTGTGGATCTCAAACGCGACATATGGCAGCCCATGGCGACAGCCATTGAGCTTGCAATCCATAATGGCGAGCAACATCCGGTGACGGTGCTGCTCACAGATGCTTCGGACTGGTATTTTGCCACTGTGCAGCTGGTCGGAAGTATTGGCAGCCAAGGACCTCCCCTGCCCAAGGGCGAGTTCCGGGCATGCGGTTACCAGTTCCGCCTCTTTAATTGGATATTCTTTGATTGTAAACTCCTGGAAACAGTCAGTGCAGGTTCTGCAGGAATGGTGGCTAAGGTAAGGCGAAATTTTGAGGGCGGTTCTCTTGCAGATAGGGGCCTTTGCTGCATAGTGACTGGGTGTTGTCAGTTCAGAATGGCTTCCTGGGGGCTTTACAAGGCACAATGCGTGAGGGCAGGAGCTGCACTTCATGTCCTGACGAATTTGGTACTAATGTGGTTGCAGAGATGAAAGACATGTTTCGAGTGATTGTTTAACAAGGTTGGCCAGTCCATTCATCATACATTACTGTGTAAACTGTTCTGTGTACGTGAATAAATGCAAATGCATCGCTAAAGTATACTGCCTGAAGTATACTTCCAGCATCTTGAAAGGCCAGTTTGACAGCCAGCTACTACCTTTTCGCAGGTAGATAATGCTCCCCGAACATCCCTTGGTCCTGCAGATTTTTGCACACATCCACAACGTGCTCTACCCTGGCGAAGACATCACCCATGTTGCAGAGCGGGCAGAGCGGGGCAATGAGACACTTCAAACTCTGGCAGATAAGTGGGCGAAGCCTGTTATCACAAAGCTGGTTGAGAGTAAGGCAGAGAAGGAGAAGGAAATGAAACGGAAATTGAAGGAAATTGAGGAGAAGGCGGAGAGGGAAAAGAAGGAAATGGAGCACAAGATGAAGGAAATGGTGGAGAAGGCGGAGAGGGAGAAGAAGGAAATGGTGGAGAAGGCGGAGAGGGAGAAGAAGGAAATTGAGGAGAAGGCGGAGAGGGAGAAGAAGGAAATGGCAGAGAAGGCGGAGAGGGAGAAGAAGGAAATGGCAGAGAAGGCGAAGAGGGAAATTGAGGCCCTCAAAAGGCAGCTGCTGCAGCAGCAGCAATGCCAGTAATGGTGATGTGGTGTACAAAAGCCGCCTCCCCTATAACGGCTGGACGAGGCACTGATGTGCTCCCATGTGTCTATGTGCCTTTCCTCGTAGTGGTAGTCAACAGCAGCAGTCCTGGGATGTTGAACAATAGGCATGTTGCTCTGATTCCATTCGAATGGCCTCAGAAAAGGATAGGTAAACCTGCACACCTACTTGGTGTAGGTGTATGTATGTGCATGTGCATGTGTGTTGTTATGCTCAAGTGCCCACAAGGAGGACTCAGACGGTGTTCAGCGTGGTGGTGCGTCATAAGGAGGTAGGGAATTCGTCCTGCTGTTGCTGTGGCGGCTGGATGGTGAATCTGTGGCTGTTGCCGTTATAGGATGTCACCAGCTGTACGTCACATGGCGTAATATGCAGCATGTACAGCAGCAAGTAAACAAATATACAGCGGGTGTTCATTGCAGGTTTTGGTGAAGAGTGGTTGTTATGGTAACGGTTGAACGATGTTTGTATCAAAGTCTGGTCCTTTAGGAGGCCAATTGTGTAAAAAACGGCACATGCACACACATGCAGGCCTGGGCTGGAAAAACCATTGCAGGTAGCGGTTTAAGGTCGTGGGTTCAATTCTAGAGGCGAACCCCCCATGTTATCGGGAGCGTGAGTTTATGGCTAGCTGTTGAAAAGTGGTGTTGAGGTTACAGTTGATGAACTAAAATTCGCAGTCGGATTTGTGGTGATTGCTGAACCTTCTAACTCTGTCGAAGTTTGGGCGGCTGGATCAGAAGGAAATCTGGAAGGCAGATTTTACCGCCTTGAACTTTCAGTTAGTATGGCTTAGTATAGTGTGGTAGCAGTGTATGGTGCTCTATGGTGTTGCATTCTAGATCAGTATCCTAGTGTGTGCAATCGGACCAGAGGCAGTGTAATACCCCAATCAACAACATCAACATACATGCAAACAATGCAACACCCACAGCTACATAAGTACAGCCATGTTCACGGCACCCACGACATGTTACCTGATTATGAACCATTGTTCTGTTAAAGCAAACATGTGCGCGTACAAATGCTTCATTATTCATAGGTCAGGAATGTAAGGTCGTTGGAATGGTGTTCCCCGAGTCGCACATGGCCCATGCCCACCCCCCACCCCCGATGTGCACACATGCATGTATGTGTACACAAATGGACCCTACTGTGCACGTGCGAGTCCACATATACAGCTCTTCCTCTCTCACCTGCACTATGCTGTACTTTTGGTCACTTATAAGTTGCTTCATGCTCCACATGAGATGATGATGTGTGTGTGTGTGTGTGTTAGTTACATGTAACCCCCTACCGCCCAATATGAGCCGAGGGCTCAAGGGCTGCACCTATCAGCACCATCCTACCTCCACACTTCAGACAAAGCATAGTGTTGTAACGACGCAAATGCCAATCTGAGCATCCCGGGTTACGCCTTTGCTGTGTTACAAGTGTCCTTCATAAGCTCAAGGTTCGATTCCTGGGGAGATCCCCGAATTAGTCGGGAGCGCGAGATTAAGGCTAGCTGTTGAGATGTGGAGTTGAGGTCACAGTTGATGGACCAGATTCACACGCTGGATTGGTGGCGATTGCCGAACCCTCCGTCTCTTCGGATGTTCGGGTGAATGGATGAGGAGGGATCCCTGAAGGCTGGATCCACCGCCTTGGACTTAAGGTGCGTATGGCATAGTACAGTGTGGTAATGGTGGATGGTGCTATAAGGTGATAAATCGTAGAATTGACAATGTGATAAAGCGGCCCAGAAGCCTCCCACTCTGTAACATTACACACACATTACATTACACACACATAAGCTCAAAGCGTGGGAAATCCATATCAGATCTGATTTCGCCATACACCGGACAGTCCAGCAAGACATGCTTCTCATCTCCAATATGGCAATCAGTGCCGCAGCAGGGGCATATCCGCTCTTCCCTAGGTACATAACACCGTCCCTTGCGCGCTCTGTTCCCCGCCAACACCCAATAGCAAAGCCTAAAGTGCATAAGCTTACAATTCGCTGAACACGGGATAAATGTTGCGATATGCAGGAGCAACCTCCTTCCTCCCCGCTTGCTCAGCCGCCTGAACCATCCAATGCTTATATTTCACGTGTTGAATTGAATTGTTACAGAGTGGGAGGCTTCTGGGCCATTTGAACACATTTCACGTGTGGATTCCTGGTTGCTTACCGTCTGACGAGTACACGTCTGGCTGGACATCTCATGAGACATGTATGCTTCCAACCGCTTATTAACCGATCCTTGAACTCCGACACCACACCTCCCGGCAATTGCCTATTCATTAGCCATTCAACTCGTTTTTCTGCCTCATGCAGTCCTTGCGGGGTCTCTTTCCATACGTCGTGCCCCAGAAAACTCAGACGTGGGAGTTAGAGAGAGCCTCTACGATCTCCTTTCACAACAAGCTGTGTCGGCTTCCTCGAAGCCGAAAAAAGGGGGGGGGCCCTGCATCCATACAGGCCGGTAGCTAGGGTGGCACGTGTGACAATTGATGGGTAGTGTCAACGTGGTGGGAGCTGTGCTTGTTGCAGAAGTGCTGATGCTGTGGGAGGTATGCTTGGTTCAGCTGGGCGAGATACTATGTGTAGTAGCTGGCCGCTGAAAAGGCCTCTCGAGATGCTGGTCGTCGCGCCTAGCGCGTACTTGTACTTGTAATGTGTGCCTTACAGTGTACCGGCTACTACGTTCCCCCCGCATTGAAGGGATCCGTCTCGGGCCCTTACGGCCACGTATACCAGCCACGACTTTGAGCAGCTCCCCCATGCGACCTCGGTGTCGTTGCCAGAAGACAAACGCCATCGGCATAGAGAAGGATGGACACTCGCTCATTTCCAACCTTCAACGCATCCTCTGGCCGTGCCCTGGTGTTTTAACACCGTCATGCATATCCATGGTATCCGGAAGAGTTTCATGACATGAGGTCACGTGTAATGAAGGCGTATGCCTGCGTGTGTGCAGGGGTATGGCATCACTGGTATGAGGAGAAAGAGGAGGAGAAAGTGCGTGAATGTGAAGAGGCCTATGGAGGCAGTAGAGGCAGTGGATTTTAGCTCACTTTGATAAGAATGCTTGGGATGGTGGTCATACATGTTGGCATATCCTATGAAGCTGTTCTTCTTAAACAAGTAGTGTATGTTCTTAGACATAATGTAGTTCCATTATTCGTTTCATGGATCTGAGGGTTAGGATTTGCCGCCTTGCCAGTACTGCAATACCTGGAGCTGGTGTGGCGACCCACGGGGCTGTCCGGGTTTGGAACGCTTTCGCGAGTGCGTCCTCAAGTCGGCTGACCCGGAGAACCCGGTGCCCGGGAGGGGCGGCTTTGGCAACAGCACGGGCTGGATGAGCGGGGTTCGCCTAGCCTGGATGTCCGTGTGACGGTGACCTGTCGGGCGGCGGCACCCGGCGAGTAGGGGGGTCCTTTTGTCTTTTTCCATTGAAACCCGGAGGAAGACGATTTTCCTTAAATGCCGAAGGGCTGCACGTGCGCCCGAGACTGTGGATGCCGCTGATACTTGGGTCGGCATTTAGGCGTTGGAGGTTTTGCGGTTTGTCGGAGAGAACAAATGAAGTGGCGTTGCATTTGACCCTGCGGGATTTGGGTCGCAGATTGCAGCCAAAAAGACAGCAGATGTCAACCTCTTGACATTGTGCTCACAGCTTTGTTGGCGGCCACAGGTTCGGAGCATCCGGTGTGGCAGGGGATGTGCCAGCAATGCCCTCAAGGGTGTACACTCAGGGTTTTTCGTGGGTTTTTGGGGTATACGGTAGGGGGAGCTGCAGCAGGCTGATGGTTTGGTACGCTCGTCACGGTTCAAAATCCGAAGGGCGTCTGCGCGTCCCGATCGACCTTCACTGTAACAATCGCAAACTGCACATGCTGGTACATGATGGTAGGGGCCCATACGTGCTAACACATCTCAGCGGCCACTTCGTGAGCTTGGGAACCAAGGCCCTTTCCAGCACCAGTGCAGCTCTCAACACTCACCGGCTTGAGTGTATCAGGGTTCAAGGCACGACACGCATAGCACGGTTTGCAGCGGCTCAGATATGCGTTCGCGCTATGCAGCGCTTGCCTGGAAGGCAGGAAGAACATCTGCCTATGTATTCATAAAGTCATTAATATTCTTTCCAGGATTATACTACTAGGCTGGCCTGTCATGAAGTAGATAGTGCTCTCCGTAGTGGAAGTACCTCTGCGTCTCAATGTTGACCGGTCAACACTGAGGCGCAAAAAATCCACCAGCTATGCGGTTTGTGCTACTCGTACCCAAATATTTTTATACCACTTTGTGCATGTTTCTTCTTGTAATAGTCCTTGCTAGATTGTAGCTGTACCTTGAGCTCGCAAAGGCTTTCTCATGCTGCAATACCGGAGTCACCTCATGCTTAGCAGGGGTACGGACTTGAGCCAGTCCTAAGCAGTCAAGGGTGACGAACAGGCGAGACGAGCATAAACGATTAATGCGATGATCAACGCTGGTACAGATTATGATATCAGGTATACGCCGATATACCGGTGTATATATACTATGCGATGTATATGGGTATATCGCATTACCGCAGTACGCGACATACATACATACATACGCCCGAGCGATCATGTTATATATCGCCGGTATACCGCCGTTCATCGACCCCTGTACTGCACATTTCGCACATGCGCAGGAGACGCGGAGAGCTGCCGCATTGGAGGAGACGGCTCCTAGCAACCTGATGTGGGCTAGTAGGGCCGTGACGTTCGTCCTGTGGCCCATACGTGTGCCGTACTCCGCAACTTTATTTTGATTCGCAACACAATAAAATTCAATGGGGAGATAATACTCCGGGTAAAACATTCTCAACTTAACTAACTTCAATAGCGCCATACACAGTAAGAAACCCCTGGACCGAGCCAGAACCGAGACTTAAAAGATGCTTCCATTAATTCGCACCAGGGACGCAACGTCGGCGCGTGTGTACGGCACATGACAGGCAAGAGTACGACACTGCCCCGCAACGGAAAGGACACGTTAGAATCCACCACGCGGCTGCCCCCAACACGCGCCCAGCAGATCCCTTCCCGTCACCCTCCGAAACCAGTTCCGCACCCTCCACGTCGCACCTCCACTCGCCTCCCCACCCTCGCCCTCACCCGCGCCTTGGCCCCTGCCCCACCGGGACCCGGCCACCGGGCCCACCTCGTTAGCCGGCGTACCCGCTGCGGCTACTGCCGCCACCACCCGTACGGCACCCTGCCGGTGTCCCCTTCCCGCCATCACCACGGCTAAGGGCCCGCCGCCGCCGCCACCGCCCTCCTCCATTCCCCCCTCCTCGCGGCCTGCTGTCTCATCCCCACCTCCACCCCCATTATCCTGCGCATCGACCATTTGACTTCCCCGCTCAATTACCGCTACATTACCGCCCGCCCCTACGCCTCCACCGCCACCACCACCGCCACCACCATTTCGAGGTTCTGACCGCACCCCCAAACCTGTCCCCAGTCCCAGCCATCCGCGCGCGGCACCA